AAAAAACCAAACTATGTAAGGCTTTTGGGCTATTTTGAGCCTTGCCCTAAGGCTCTAAGGACTCATAGTTTAAGGCTTTTGGGCCCAAAGGGCCATACTATCTTAGGCTCTGAAGCCTTCTGGGGTCTGGGTAAAACCACCGCCCGCCGACATCTCCTGAGGAGTCGCCAAAGCCTGGCAGGTCTGTGGCGTTCCATTCGCAGGTTTGGGGATTACGATCGGGGCCTCAAAAATTAGAATAGGGTTTTGGGGCCCACTATACTATAATTTAAATAAGGGACCCCCAAAAATAGTAATTAATGGTAATTATTTAAGCACTTACATTAGGGTTTAGGGTTTCAGGTTTAGGATTTAGGTTTCGGGTTTAGGGTTCAGGTTGAGGGTCTAGGTCTTGGGTTTAGGGCTTAGGTTGCCGGTTTAGCGTTTAGGGTGACGATAAAGGTTGCCATAAGGGCAACTATAAGGTTCTAGAAGGGGTACTATAACGGTAACCGTAACGTTCTATGAGGGTTACTGTATATGTAAGAATCTGGACAAAGGGTCTCCTTCCGGCTTCCTGTGAATGCTCTATCAGGATGACTATATCGTTTATAAATGCAAGTACTACTATATCGTAGGCCTCAACCCTAAACCCTAAACCAGTAAAACACCTAAACCCTAAGCCCCCAAACCCTAGCCAACACACCCCCCAAGCAGCCTCTAGTGAAACCTTGTGCTTGGGGTGCAATGTTTGGGATGCTTTGGGTCTAGGGTCCATGCTCTAGGATTTAGGGTTTAGGGGTTTAGGGGTTTGGGGCTTAGGGCTTAGGGTTTAGGGGTTTGGGGGCTTAGGGGTTAACGGTTTAGGGTTTCAGGGTTTAAGGTTTCCGGTTCAGGTTTCAGGGTTTAGGGGTTTAGGGTTTAGGGTGAGGTTAAGATTGGATATTATTTTTTGCCTTTTAACGGTCTTGTTACACTGGGATGCCATGATGAATATTATGAATAATATTGCATTCAGACCTTTATGTTATAGGGCTGAAGAACAAACTGCTGCGCTACCTTGAGTAACCTAAACCGCCGGGGTGCAAGTACCCAATAATCATATACTCTCCCAGATTCTGTCAGATGGTAGCCTATATAGCCCCAAGCATCTTATTTTCGGGTCCTTTGGACCCTTAGGGAAACTATGAAATATGTCATATACCTTACCCTCGGTAAGGCTAGCGTTTCTCCATCAGTAGTAGTGTATGCTGCGTGTAAGTCGGCGGACACTTGAGGAGTCGTGGTATGAAATACTGCGAGCATCCTCATCATAACCCTGAGGGTTCAAAGAACCCAGTATCAAGAAACTTAGGTTTCGGCTAGTAGTTATATAGGCTACTATTCCCTAAACCCTAAACCCTGAACCCTGAACCCTAAACCTATGGTTATTGGCTACTTGGACCCCTGGGGTAACCCACTGACCCAAAGCCCGAAAACAAGATTGAGCCTTAGAGGTGTCGAGACGCCCCCTCCTACCTTGAACCCACCGGCTGTCCTGTATGAAGTACCTACTGTTAGAGACCCGTTTGGAGCGTTTCGAAACCCTTACAAGACGGGCTGGCCTGGGAAGTCGAATCATGCAAAATCTTGTGCTGTGTCTAGCCCTAAGGCTCAAAATAGCCCAAACTTGGGCCCAAAAGCCTTAAAATATGAGTCCTTAGAGCGTTAGGGTGCCCAACTCATACTAGTACTTCCTACTAATCTACAAGCCCTACTTTCTAGGTACTTAGGAATCCTTAGGACCCTTTAGGAATGTACTAAACCCGAACTAACCCCAAAACTTAGGGTTCAGGGCTTACGGCTTCGGGGTTTAGGGTTTAGGGCTTAGGGTTTAGGGTTTAGGGTTTAGAGTTTAGGGCTTAGGGTTTAGGGTTGAGGGTTTAGGGTTTGGGGTTTGGGATGGTTTGGTTTCGTGAGTTCGGGTTTGGCGTTCAGGGTTGCACTCTTGACCGCACAGCGGTGATATCGACACTGCCAGCGTATCGTACATGTTTACAAGGAGTATATATATATATATATATGTATATATATATATGTATATATATATATATGTATATATATATATGCCACCCGAATATGTATATATAGTACATGTCAATTATACATATGTATATATATATATGTATGTATGTACTAATTTCTATGTTATATTCTGTAGACATGCGTACACAGTGTACAGTATACACACAAATCGATGTGTGCTTGCTTGTTCCCGCTTATCTGCTTTTTGACCTAACATCGACCATAGGAGTGACTGCCAAGGCCCACGCAAACACACTTCACTGGGTTTTTCGGGTTTAGGGTTTACAGGGTTTAGGGTTTTTAGGTGCGTTCAATCACAATCATGAATAAGTGGGTTTAGGGTTTAGGGGATTAGGGGTACCTCAATGTGACTACAGTAAAGGCCGTCGTACACGAAAACACAAAAGTTAGTATATTGGGTACATTGGCACGGAGACTCTAACAAAACCAACTTATGAACCCTTATAGCCAAGACCCTTATAATTTAATGGCCATGCAACAAAAACGCTTAAAAGACCCCTTCCAGACAATCTAAAAGCCGTTAGCACGTATGGGTACACGCGCTAACTCCATAAGCCCTACAAACAATATAAGCCCCACTGTCAAAGCCTCTACGAACAAGAACCCTAAACCCTAAACTCCAAACCATAAACCCTAAACTCCAAACCCAAAGCCCTAAACTACAAACTCCAAAACCCTAAACTCCAAACCCTAAACCCTTAATTCCAAACTCCAAAACCCCAAGCTCCAAACCCAAAATTCCTAAGACGCCCGCGCCTGCTCCACTTTCAACACGATCGGGCCAGCCTCTGGGTTCCTTGTCAAGGCAACAAGCACAAGAGACTCTGGGGTTTAGGGAGTTAGGGAGTTAGGGGTTTTTCAATTTGGGTTCCTTGTGAGACTGTGGGGTTGAGGGAGTTAGGGTTTTTTGAATTTGGGTTCCTTGTCAAGACAACAGCACAAGAGACTGTGGGGTTTAGGGTTTGGGGGTTTAGGGAGTTTTGGGGTTTAGTCATTTAGGGGTTTAGGGATTTAGGAGTTTAGGGGTTTAAGGATTTAAGAGTTTATGGTTGAGGGGTTGATGGTTTAGGAGCACGACCTGTAGTCCCAAAGGCCTCGCCTTCTTACATTCAGAAAGAAACTGAACAGGTATGTCTTAGGGTTCAGGGTTTCGGGGTTTAGGGCTCAGGGTGTTAGGGTTCAGGGTTTAGGGTTGAGGGTTTAGGGAATAGTAGCCTATATAACTACTAGCCGAAACCTAAGTTTCTTGATACTGGGTTGTTTGAACCCTCAGGGTTATGATGAGGATGCTCGCAGTATTTCATACCACGACTCCTCAAGTGTCCGCCGACTTAGAAACGCTAGCCTTACCGAGGGTAAGGTATATGACATATTTCATAGTTTCCCTAAAGGTCCAACGGACCCATTAGAAAGATACTAGGTTTCGGATAGTAGCTATATGGGTTACTATCTGGGAGAGTAAATGATTCTTGGGTACTTGGACCCTTGGGGTAAGCTTACTCCAGGTAGCGCAGCAGTTTGTCCATCAGCCCAAATTAGGCACCGTTTTAGTCCCCAAAAGAGTACGGCACCCTTATAACACGGACCCGAAAAGGGACCATGCTATAGAGAACTACCCAGAAGGTTTAGGGCTTAGGCTTCCCTCAACCCTAAACCCTAAAACCTAAACCCTAGACCCTTTCCCCTTTGCAGGGCTTGCGGCTTAAGGGTTTCTGAAGCTTCATGGGCTTAGGGCTTATAGGGCTTTTGTGGGGTTTAGGGCTTACTTGGGGCCTTGATGGGGCTAGGATTTAGGGTTTAGGGCTTAAAAACTTGAGGTTTAGGGTTCACAGGGATTTGGGGGGGTTGTTGGTGTAGGGTTTAGGGCTTAGGGCTACGAGGGCTTAGGGTCCCGGAGAGAGCAACCCTAGGGTTGGGGGAGTTAGGGGTTTAGGGTTGGGGGGTTTAGGGCTTTAGGGGTTTTGGAGTTTAGAGGTTTAGGGCTTTAGGAAACTGGGATTTAAGGGTTTAGGGTTTGGGGGTTTAGGGAGTTAGGGGTTTAGGGTTTGGGGGTTTAGGGGTTTAGGAGTCGGGGCGTCAATGGTGCGTCCGTATCGAACCCGGGCTCCTCCTCCGGATCGGAATGAACCAACGGCGTTTTCAGTGGGATATGGCTGGTGTCGGTGAGCGGATCATGAAGCCCCAGATGGATCTGATCGGCCGAGGGGCGGTCCGGGAATCGGGGGGCCGGGCCGGCCGGCATTGGGTCCAGACGGCCGTGGCATCGGGGTACTGAGCTCGGGGCGGGGGCGGGGCGGCCTGCGCCATTTGCGCAACCGGACGCTCTATGTCCAGCTGCGCGATGTTCGTGATCGCGTACACCTGGTCATTCATGAACTCACATAGTACCCCATTCAAGCGGACGAGCTGGGACACCGGGACGTCTGTCCAAAATCCTGACAAGCTCCTTACAAGAAGACTCAACACAGAAAACTGCAAAGCACTCCGAACCCTTTGTCGTAGGACCTTTCGGGAAAGGATGCTATAGACCCTATCCAACTTCCAACGGTACACCTATGAAATGCGGAAATTCTTCGAACAGCCTCGTGAAAGCACTCTAAAGACTCCAATACAACCCTCTGAAACACCCGTAGGAAACAGTAGTAAAAGCCCTCGCAAAACCCCTTACTCACCCTTGACGCTAAACCCTAAACCCTAAACCTCAAATCCCAAACCCTAAAGCCTGAACCTAAACCCCCAACCCCTAAACCCCACACCCCTAAACCTAAACCCTAAACC